ATCATTTTAATTTATTGATTCATCACCCCATCTCTCTATCGTACACACATTCAAACCGGAATTTGTTATAATTATATAGGCTTCATGTTGCTACAAATATAGACCAATGAAGAGAAGCAGGGAACTTGACGGTCATGTAAGTAAAATATATCGGCTATAATTAAATAGGGTTGTTTTTTTATAGCAACATTCACCCTGTTCTGGCATTTGTTTACATAAAAATATGTTTTGTTTTAATTATGGATATGATGTTGATATCCACTATCGAGTTTCACACAAAATTGAGCGCTTCAAAAGTATTTTATCTATTGTCAGCATACCATTCACCAAAAATGATGAATAAATCAAATAATCCACATGCATAATAGAGCTATTTTTACTGTACTTTCATTTTCCCAACAAACGAAATCCAACAACTATTGGAATTTTCTATCAATTCCAATGACATTTATTTCAATCCTTCCTTAGAAACAATTTTCGATATTATTGTATTTATTTTTAATTTTTGAATTTGAATGAATACATTGTTTTACATCGTTACATTAAATAATAATACAATGTGATGGAAAATAATGTAGAAAGTTTTGAATATTCCAATTCAAAATAATTGAATACTTATTGCTTTGTTTAAATAATAGTATTCAGTTATAACGGGCTAACTGTATTAAAGGTAAGTACAATAAAACAGTTCCTAAAGAGCTGTATAAATTTTATTATTCATTCATTGCTTCTACTAATAGATTTGAATCGACTATACAATTGAAAGAAAATTGCTTATAAGGATACCTGAATTCCTGAATTAATTTAATTGTATGTGTTCTGATTTTCTTCCGACAAACTTGGTTCATAAAAAATTCAATTTGGTTGAGGAGGAGGATAAAGTAAATTTAATCTGCAGGAATTACATCGACATTATGTCTACAGCAATAAAAGCTAAATCTTTGTGAAATCAAACAAACTGTTGCAATTTAGGGGAAATCAACGAACATTGTATCGACGTCACTCAAACAATGTTTTATACACATAGACTCTATAGTGTAGTGAATTTTTCATCTTACACTCGATAATTTATTCATTTATTGGATAAAGTATGGTATCAATACGTCGAATTAATTAACAATTTACTAGTTGCTTTAAATTCACCTTCGCAAGACTTACGCAACTTGAATGACAATACAAATTATGTTTTGAGTTAAACGTGAGTTTAATATGGCAAATTATTACCAAATGAAAAGGTTCGTAAGTTTCTTTGTGCTCTTCTCCTTGGTCGGATGCTTTGCTTATTGAAATCGATATAATCGACCTGGGGGAAATTACATCAGTATCATAGACTCAAGAAGAATGAAATGCACGTGTTTCCGTTCCTTAAATCAACCTATGCACATAGTTGGCAATGAATCGGTAACGTCATCTGCCAATTAGTTGACTGCGGTCAGGGCTAATTGGCAATTCGGTAATATTTTATGGTTCATCTTTATGTTAAACTAAGCATTAAATTATCTGATTTATAAGGCTTTTTGATTCGATGGAATTTTCGTATGAAAGCATGTATTATAAATTTAATTAAACTACATGTGAAGTTTTGTTTTGTAAATTTTCAGCAATCAGTAATGTGATGTAATAACTATTAGCTAAACCGAAAATGGAATGTCTTTGACTTTATTTGGTTTTCAATTTAACAACTTCCAATTCAATTGGAAAATTCTTTAGTGGTTTGTACCAAATCTTAATTAAACAATTCAACCAACATTGATACTGATGTATTGCTTTTCTCAAGCTATGCCTAATAAAATTGATTGTGTGAGCATAGGTATGCTGAGTTCTGACATTCACAACGTAAACCGAGTTGGTTTCAAGTACAACCATAACAATAAATTCATTCATTTGAATCAATGATTTTCATGCTAGCGAATAAATGGTATTTGCCACATAAACCAATGCATAAAATAAACAATTCAACATGTTATTTACTAGTTCACTTTGCTCTCAATCGCATCATAATTGATTGAATATTTGATAAAACGGTGGCTACAGATACCGAACCAGATAGCATAATAATTTAACAACGAAAAAATTCCGTTGGAAAATACATTTGAATTTGTTTGGTATTGAATCAGATTATGGCAAAAATCGGTTCGAGATTGAAAATTTGTCAAACTCTTGAATGAATTCTAATTTACACAAATGAAAATTGTGAATTTAATAATGGAATAATGGCGGTGTGCAGAACAATGAAACCAATGATTGATTTCTGTAGGATAAATGCCATTGAATGAACCAATAATGCAATTGTTTCAATTCGATTGTCTCATTAAACTATTGTATCGAATTCAATACACTGCTGAATTGAGACTAAATTGGTTTTGTTAAAAATTTGATTTTGTTCCGCTTATTGTGATCCATTATTGTTTTATTTGCCTCCCACATCAGGAAATAATAAAAAAGCATGATTACAAAATCAACATTCAATCAAGCAAATCAAGATGACAGAAAAAAAAATTGACGTCTTCCGCAGTATAATCAATAAACAGCAAAAGAGAAAAGCCCCAACGCTGCCTCATGTATGCAGATACGTAAAGTGTACGTGGTATTGATCATAAATATTTTATCACATCTCTTTTCACGGCGTTTTGCCACCCAAGCTACTGATGTATGTACTACCACATGCAAGCATTGTATAAATATTGAACTGTTTCGAATATTACATTCAATTTTCGATCGATTTCAAATGATAACAATAAATTTGATGACATCAATAAATAGAAAAAGAGCAAGCAAAACAATAAAAGACGTAGACGAGAGAAGCGAACGTATTATTGTGTCAATATTACAAATGTGTATCAGTGTTATTGTTGGGTTACTGAATTAGAATTGCTGAGACAAGCCACAAAAATGATATAAAATCGATGGACCCATAAGTGAAGAAAAAAAAACTCGTAAGCACAGCACATATCGACCGAAAATTCATAAATAGACGATGATAAAAATAGTATTTTTTGGACCATTCATATCCACAGAGTTGCATTGTATGTTTTATAGACCACATAAAAAGAAATTAAATTCGTGCTGTCACAAACACAACAACAGAATCACCGACATTTTGCGAATATTCTACGGAAGAGCGAACAAAAAAGTAAAATCCTTGAAGTAAGAAACAACAATGAAAGCGACAAGTTGAAAAAATATATTATAAAAGCCAAACGAAACAGAAACAGAAACAAAAAACACAAACTAAACAGAAACTCTCAGCACAACGAAAGAAGGAGATGGAAAATGCATGAATTTATTTCAATTTGCATAGAGTGTTTTGTTTATGCTTTATTGTGTACAAAATTGAATTTTCTAGTCGACAAATGGAACCATCAGCCACAACAAGTCGCTCCAAATCGAAATTCACACAGAATTGTGCTGGAAAAAATTGTGTCGTCCTGGAGACAGCACAATTTCTTTTGCATAGGCTAGTGTTGGCCCGATTTTTGTCAGCTATCGACGGAAAATAAGCATACACAGTGACCATGATTGTTTATAACCGTTGACAAAAAAAAAGAGTCAAATGAAACCAATTCTTTTGGACATTGAATGTTTGATAGCGGCAGATATGAAAATACAACCAACAAACACAACAGTTCGGATAGCTGTAAGTCAATTCGGAATGATGAATAACAACAAAAAAAGCTGACACACAAACGAAGAGAAAAAAAAACCAAGCGACAATCCACAATTCAATCGGGGAATAGAATGAGCGATGAACGCTAGTGCAGAGTAGAAAAAAAAACCACATACACAACTGACAAAACCACATGCCAGCCAGCACAAGAAACGTTGGCAAATTCGAATAACGGCAAACAAACAACAAGCACATGATGCAAAAGAGAAAAACGATGAAAAAAATGAAGCGAAAATAAAAACATTTATATGTCTCTCAATATGCGACCGATGGCGCACTTCATGTGGGCAAACTCACACAGTGTTTGTGTGTCTCTCGCTCACTCTCCTTCACGCCATTTTCCTCTATCTCTCTTGTATCGATGCAGTTCGAGTAGTTTGCATAGCAATAAAAACGACTTTTGTTCTCTTCGGAAAACGGTTCAAAAAGCCACCACGTATGTGATCTATCCGCCGCGATGCAGTGAATTTTCGTAGAACGCTTCGCACATTCAGCGATGTTTGCTCTTTCGATATATTTCGAAATGCATTTATGGATAAATACATACAATGTAAATAAATGAAATGTGTGGATAGCTTGGTTGTCTGTTTGCATTGTACCCAAGCGTACCGTATAAACTGGTCGTTGGGGTTTGCGTGTTGCACACCGTGAATTTAATGGTAATTTTATTGTTCTGCAACTCAAAAGGACAATTCCGAATAAGCTGATGTAGAGAGAAAAAAAAATGCAGAAAATTTGAGCAATAACAATGTGCCGTTCTCTAATCACTGGATTTTCTACTGGTGTACTCACACCGATTCGTTTGTTCGGCAACAAGAGACGCGCGCGCACATCGCGTATTAGGCGAAAATTGCATTTCAATTCAATGCACAATAATCTCGTCGACTTTGTTGTTTCACTATGCACAATTATTGTGGAACATTCACCGTTCGATCCCGAATCGCATGCAACACACATGTACATTGTACACGAACAGAGCAGAACGTCTTTGCACAAGCTGTAGTCCAACTTCGCGCTCAATGTTTTCATTTGTGCCAATTCCCAAGCGATAGTTGAGCAAATAGCAATTCAGATTGTCATAAAGTATAACGCACACATTCGTATGTCATTATATGTATAAATTATGAGCCGCCGATGGTGGTAGCAGTGGTTCTTTTTGGTTACAGCTAACATTATTTTATCGTGTTCATTCGCTTGCAATATTTGGTGGGAATTTAATGAGCTGTGGGAATTTTGCCCAAAACGCGAAAACCATAAGCAAAATTGCAGCATGCAATCCAGTCTTCTTACAGCTAATCAAATGTATTTTATTATGTTTGACATATTGACTTACTCATTTGTTGACAGACCGATGATCAACGATTTTTCACACTCAATTTCAATTCGCTTGATTGAACTTATGATTGCCACTTTCCAGACTCAACTCAATATTAAATTATCATTCTAATGCACTGAATGTGTCCTCGAGTATCTCTCGTTTTCTGATTGTTTGCACGTAATTCACATCAAATCACGTTAAATTTTATTTTCTTCGAATGAGACGCACACGCACAACAACAACTTGTACAATCTACGCGACCAAGGAAAAAAAATCTATCAAACTGATTTTACTTCGAAAGTTTCTTTTTTCACACAACTTCCACACATGGGACTGTTCTGTTATTACCAAAGGAATGAAAAGTTTTACACACTATATAGAATATTGTATTGGTTTGGTGTGAGTATGACGAATATTATACTATGACACTGCTTCAACGAAGTATGTTGACTTATTATTACTCATTTTTGTCTTCCAGCCTTAAATCTATTTCACAAACTTACAACTTTTTCTATATTTTTCGGTTATTGTTGCGAGAGTCCAGAACACAAAATCACATTTGGACTTCTTTTTAGCATGTGTGTTTTATTCTCTGTGTCTTTATGCCATTGAGAACGAATAGCTATGAGGATTATGGATAAAACATGCTCAAAGGTGATCCCAATAAAATCCAATTGAAACAGCCTAGATGCTCAAACGTACTATGTTCGCCAGTGTAACAGCAATCGCTTAAATTTCTTTCTTTGCGTCGAGAGATAAGATAACCGTGCGAGAGAAAAAAAATGAGAGCTCATAAATTGTCAGCCAAGAAAATGTCACGTCATCTGTGCATGTATGACGATTTGCACGGAAAAAAACTAACTTCTAATAATATCACGTAAGACCGTTATTTGTTATTATTCATTTTTTCTTCTCTGGTTGTAATCCATGTCCTTCTTGTTCCATGTGTCAACCTCACCGGCAAAAATACTCACATTTTTATTTTCATATATAAATCTATTCGTGGCAAAGTCCTATTTTTACGGAGATTCGCACATAAAAGTTTACTCGACAAACGGCCTTTATAGCGTCGATTCACTCACGGATTAAAATGTGAAACTGAAATCCTGACATTTTTTTTCTGTTCATTTCATTTAACCCATAAATTTTTACTCGCTATATGAATTCAATATCCGGCGAGAATCAAGTTCGGATAATGAAACTGGTCCAACTAAATCGCATTTGTTCACTAGTTTGTCCTATTGGAATTGTCAAAATGTTTTCACATAAATACGAAAATCTCGGTCATCGTTACTGGTGACGGTGGATTGAAACGAAAACGATGTGTACTGTCTGTGCTTCGCGATAAAACTGAATAAAGTGTATGTTTAAAAATCTTGACGTCGGAACGGATAGCAAACTTGGAGGGGAAACATTCACGTTCAGTCACGCACGAACATTCCAAGCGAGAGCGAGGCAAGTAATACCTCGAAGGGGAATAGGCTGGAAGTATGAATGTCTAACACATGCTGCCGAGAAACATCTACTGAAAAGAGAAAGTAGGAGTGTAGCTTGTGTGTCGTTGAATGGGCATGCGCATGACGGTGCAACAGAAAAACTGTTTCGCATTGAAAATCTCACGTAAAAACTCACAGAAGTGGAACAAGAACATAAACTAGAACGAGAGAAAGTAGCGTGCGAAATCTGTCTCGAAATAAATGGCTGAGTGCGAGTGAAAAACCAAATGATATTCGCGTGTATTTGACTGGTAATGTTTTTGTATTTGTTGTTGTTGCTACTGCCGTGGTTTTTATACTCAACAATTTCTTTGCCGAAGCGAACAGAAAAGATTTTCCATCGAACGCTGCACTAAGACATCGGGCACACACACGGTGTTTGGAACAATTTGCAGAGCGTTGAATCGAATCCGGATCGGGGTGTGTTATGATGATAGGTCAGTTTAGTCATATGGCTGTGGCAACGTGCACATATCTTTATTAACATTATGAAATGCTACCGTCGAAGCAGCGGCAACTGCCGTTTGACTCTTGCTTTCGAGGCCACATGACCAGGAAAATTGTTGGAAAAGTGGAAAAACGGCCTTTGCTACATGCTTTGAAAGTTAGTTAGCGTATAAACGGTATAACGATTATTGTTGGTCACTTTGCAAGGATGTAATCACTCATTTATATGTACGGCTTATGAAAGGATAGAGAAAGAGAAACCGAGTGGGTGAAAAACTGCATAAACAGTTCATATTATGTGTGAATGATTGGTGAGCGTGTGCAATAAAAAAACAATAAGAAGAGAGGCCATTATAATTTGATGGTTGTTAATTTTTTCTGTGCGCTTTTGGTGTTTGTTTATTCTGATGTTCTTGATTGCTAGCAGTGCTTTCAGTAGAACTCTGCAATTAATTCTCTATTCCTATACACCGTTTCTTTTGGTTTTCGTATACAATTGGCAATTAATTTCATTTGAACAGATAGATGAACAACGCAACCGAATAGAAAATTGGAATACCGTTCCAGCAGCCATGCTTCAAAATGAATAGTAAAATTAGTGATAAAATTAACTTAATCGATGCAGACATTGTGCGCAATAATCATTAGCACAGAATAGTAATTAATCGAATTACTTCCATCATCTAAGTTCTTCACATTAGAGTTTGACGAAATAAGTTTTGTGCTCCTTCGTCTCATTCGAAACAGAGAAAACATTTATATATTGCGTTGTGTTTTTCATTTAACTGTAAGCGAGACCGCGTCGCTTCTTCGGAAGGATGCATGCCAAATGGAAAGTCTCTTACTCAAATGTTATTATAAAACTTTTACTTTATTCGCAAAAAAAAAGAAGAGGAAAGTACGCTCACTCGTATACTTAAGAAACACATGCGGAGCAAAGAGAAGGCAGTCGGGCACTTATAGAGAAAAACTTCAATTAAGGAAATTGAATCAGTTGGAGCAACGACTGGCAGATGTTTTTTCACTCAGCAAATAATAATAGTGACAGTTCCACCGAAAAAAAGAAGAAGAAGAAAAACCGTCACACATATGAGGTTTTTCGCGTTCACAAGACTGAGAGCGTCTATCTAGGCCGATTCCTTCAATGAAACAAAAGCCAAGTGCAACGACATAATTATTATTTGTGAACTAGTTGAAAATGACAGCAATATTCAACTCGCATTTTTTTTCCGTCGCGCATTACAATGTGCAATTAATTAAAATTGGCAATTTTTCTTCGCATCTTCAGCTTCTTTCACTAGTTAGATTGTTTGAAATGAAAAGCGACGAACACTTAAGAAGATCAACCGAGTACGGATGGAAGAAAACAGCTCAACTGAATTGGTAAATTTTGTTGGATAAACAAAATGAAAAACGAATTAAATGAATGAGCACGCGAAATTCAACTGGAAAAAGTTTTAAAATTTTCGCATCAAACTTAATTGGATTTTTTTTAAGTGCGAAAACAAACCGAATAACGAGCATTGAGCATTGAGTAAACGAAGCAACGATGTCCAATGCAATTGAAATTGCACATGCACATTTCACGGAAATCTATTCATTTACTGGCTTCAAAAGTGTACGTGAACTTTAGAAAATCGCAAACGCGATAAGAAAAATGAAGCAAGACAACATCAACGGCAACTGTATGCACAAAAACTATGCACAAAACTGCAAACTGAGCAAATGGCATAGTACATAGATGGAAAGTGAAAAATGCTCAGTTTCACAAAGTTTTAATTTAAAGCGCATATAAAGATTGAATCGGGAGCCGGTTCAAAGTGATGCTGAAATGGTGCGAGAAACGATGATGTCGACGACGGACTTGGCGACGGCACAACATCATTGACGTTTTAATCTTTTGATTCGATGTTGTGTAGCAAGCATTTGATAAATGTGATGAGTGAACGCGCGTCTCAACTGCTTCCGAGTACATCGAATTTCAGCAAACTTTGCATTTTTCGACCGTTTTTCGCCTTTTTCGCTTATTATTATGTTTCAAATGCAATGCCATTGAGCAAAGCACAGCACAAAACCAACGCTGAAAGGCGTGAGTTTAGTACATTTAAAGAGTTTCCATAAATATTTTAGCAGCATGAAAATACACCATATTGAAAAGTTCTAGCGCAAATATTTAAATATTTACTTTGCCTTGTTTTTCGGAAAACGGGAACTCTTTGCATAAACACACAGTGTGTAGATCGGAGTATCCTCTGACCATGCCAGAATACCGATATTTAACTATGCACAAATTAATGAGCAGTAAGCACTACTCACAAAAAACACAACGTTTCGGCAACCGTACACTTATATTTAATGCAACGAAATCCATCCATTGGAAGTATGGGAAAACAATTTTGACTTGATATTTTTTCCTACAATTTCACTCTGCTCAGTACTAAGCTCAATATAACGAGTACAATCGACTGATTTTTAGGATAAATCGTTTTTTTTTTGAAGATAGAACAAATCATCCTTGAATTAAGGTCTATTTGTTACTTCCCAATTATAATTTCTCAGAACTCCTTATCCGTTTCAACTATAAGAAATCGTAATTCACAGTCGGTGAATCACAGAACAAAAGCAAAACAAGAACAATTTTTATAAGCATTGTATTCCTAATCCAATATCGTTCAATTGCATTGGCAAATTGGCAATTTGGCAAATCCATGATCAATATGTTCGAAACCATCAGATAAAGAAGATAATAATTCATAAAATATTCCAGTTGCTGCAAACACATTTTCTCGATTCCTTGAGACTTTTGAAAAAGTTGCACTACGAATAATCGAAAATGTAGATGAATATTCAAATCTTGGAAGATTTGCCGAAATGACTAATACACCAATTCGGAGGGTCAGAGGATATAGTGTCGATATTTTAGAATGAAAAAATAATATTTTATGGAATCAACACAATTTTCATACTACTATGTAATATTCCCGCCGCTGGTTGACCGCTAACCGAAATATGTGAACACATTTCATGTAATTCCTTTAACTGTATTCCGCACCGAGAATTCTGCAGCTTAAGTATTGCAGTGCCAACTTTGTTCTTCTACAGTGCACACTGTACACTGCACAACCATTTTCGAATGGAAAATTACTACATTCGGAGGACTTAAATATTTAATTAACCACCTTGATGAGCAATTTAAATAATTTGATAGGTAGTTTTGATGTTTCCAAACGCCGATTTCAACCGGATTTTACGGAATATTTCGTCATTGCTTTCGTAAGAGTCAATTTCGAGAGAGATGAGAGTTTTTTCTACTTACTTTTTTCTAGGGATCAAAAGTTGTACTTATCCCTATTGTTTCTGGTTTTGGTTCAAAAGGTCACCTCCTATCACTTCAGTAAATTATGCTCAGTCGATTTCTCTTTCCAATTTCGTTGCTCCAATTTTTATTCAACGAATATTTACACTAAAAGTTTTGATTAAATTTGAACTGCAAACTGTCTCGTTAAAGAATGCTTTAATTAAGTTGAAAACGAAACCGAAATGAATGATAGTTATTTTTGGGATGGGATTTATGTAAATGTAAAGTTCCTTCGTAGAAGCGAGATCATTGATGTGGGTTTTAATTTTCACTTGCTTGTTAAAATTAGTCAATTCGAAACCATCATGTTCCCATGATTTAATCGATAAAATCGACCGGAATAGTTCATTTGAAAACTTCTTGAAACTCAACCACTTGTTTCAATTGAATTTTTCATTCGTTATTCTTCTATCGCCTGTAATTTACATTGATGACATTGGTTTTGAAGTGAAATGAATATGTTCTCCCTATTTGATTTTGAAACAAATCCATAGGATTCGTGCATTTTTTCCATTCATGTTTGATCGAATTATTTTAATCGCTAAGGTGAAGTGAAGTGTGTAGCTTTGAAGTGTTCTATTTCCGAAAAATTTACATTTCAAAGCAAACATAAAATTTGTTGTCATATATCAAGTATCTTAGATGGAGACATTTTCAAAAAAATGTGTGTGCGTGTGTGATGTTCCCTTTATCAATGCCTAATGAAGCAAATGAGATCAATGCATAATATCGTTGCTTTCTTTCAAACAATGAGGAAATCGCGTTTCAGAGATTTTTCTTTAGATTGTTCCTTGTTGAAATTGCGGTTTGAGCTCAATGGTGCTCATGCCTTGCATTATGTTTATTTTCTGTATTCTTTTGGTGTCATTATTAAAAAGAAAAACATGGAAAACTTGTGAACCAACAGATTTCTGGTGGAGTAAGCTGTGTTTGGCCCTGGAGACAACCCAGTTGAATCAATAATTTGAGACGTTGCACGCAATCATGTGCCAGTCTTTGATCTATTTGGTTCGCGGAAAAAAGAGCGGAGCAAATATGTGTAATACGCACG